TCCTCATCCCCACCCCCACCCCCACCCCTCTATCGGAAAGCTCTAAAAGGCCCTCCCAGATGCAAAGTCAAGAAGGGCCTCCCGCCCTTTAGGACTAGATGGGCCGAGATTCCCTAGAACAGTGAGTGGCACACACGTGTCCTCTGAAGGGGGAGTCACATCCCAAACCTCAGTCCCTGGCCCCAACTCAACTGGGTCTTGAAGATACCTCGGCCCCTCCTCACACCGACGCCCAGGAGGGAGTCAGGCCTCCTGAGAACCATGTAACCACAGGGAACTGCACAGCCTGGAGGAAGAAGTGCCCCCCCAAGCCCACCCCAAAGACGCAGGCCCCAGACATCAAGGAGGGCCCTGGGCAACGCCATGTGCCCATAAAAGGTGGTACCAGGTGGCCCTACAGGTTAGGAAGGCCAATGGCCGGCAAGGCAAGAAGGCCCACCACTCTCCTCTATACACCTACAAGAACACAGGTGACCGTGGAAGAGGCGGCAGGGAGCTGAGGTCAGAATGAGTCGCCCCCATGGCTCTTAAACAGGGCTACCATCACCCTGACTTTCAACTCATCCGTCTGGGAATCTGGAATCCATGTCCACCACTGTATCAATGCATCAAATGGGTTGACGGCTCCAGGTCCACATTCTTGGGGTTCTAGAACCTGTGCACCGGGAGTCTGGCCACCATCCCTCAGCTCCGCTGACAGCAAACCTACTGCTGCCAGTGGACTCCAACCCCATGCTACAGGTCAGCAGCACTGCTCCCCAGGGTTGGTTTTCTGAGCGGCAAGCTTAATGGTTGAGGGGTGTCAGGCCTTTCTTCCAAAGCACTCAGGAGGGGCCCGAATCCCCCTCAACCTTTAGGTTACTCATTGAGTGCAGACCCAGGGCCAAAGGGCACTCCTGTTGAAAGACATCCGGGGAGATTCTGGAATGGGCCCTCTGGAGACTTTTCCCCAAATCCCAACCTCTTGGCCAAGCCTGGGTCTCATCCTCCCAGCGTGGCCTCACCAGGGGGAGAAGCTGCGGGAACCCTGGTCGTCGCCGGGCAATCCACCTATGGAATCTAATGCAGCAGCTTCCCGAGCAAGAGACCTTTCTCTACGGAAGGCGGCAGCATGCTCTGAAGCTTGGCTGGGGGGACAAAGGGGGAGAGCTGCCCCCGCCCCACCATTTCCCTTTCTCCAGGCCGCTGACTTTTCCCTCATAGCTATCCAAGAACCCCACCCACGAAGGAAACACCCAGCACCAGGTAGAGGCAGTTTCATGGAACCCTGGTGGTGAACAGGGTGACACCCTAGGCTGCGAACCCCAAAGTCAGCCGTTCAAAACCAGCAGCCGCTCCTCAGGAGGAAGAAGAGGCTCACTACTCCCATAGATTTAGTCAAGGAGCCCCACAGGGGCAGTTCTAGCCCGTCCTACAGGGTCACTGTGAGTTGGCATCGACTCCACTGCAGTGTGTTTGTTCCTAAGCGGTAGCTTAGTGGTGGTGCATGGGGCTGCCAACCCCGAGGTCCGAAGTTTGAAACCACCAGCCGCTCCTTGGGAGAAAGACAGCGCTTTCGACTCTTGTAAAGAGTTATGGTCTC